CATGAAGGCAGTCGAATGAAAATGAGTGTATCATGGAAGCAGTGATCCAAGGGTTGAGTATGCACAAGATGCAGTAACTCGGAAGCGAGCATGTCGTAGAGGCAATGACCCAAATGAATCAGTGTGCCATGGAAGTAGTGACCCATGAATATGAGTGTGCACAAGGTGCAGTAACTCCAAGAGAAATCTTATGGCAATCCAATGTGGTGCCATGGGAAGGAATGAGGTAATTCTCTTCGGAGAGAATTACACACCAAGGGGACTTGAAACGCAAGTTGTCCTTGACACAGACACATGGATGTCTGAGGCGGGTGTGCAAGAACAGTGACCCAAGGACATGCAAGATGACATGCAAAGCAAACATGTGATAGTGCACAAGTGTTAAGTGCAAACATTAATTATGTGCGGCACCGTGACATGGAGATGACATGGAGCAAACATATGAAGTAGCGTGTCCATAGGAAGCCCAAGTACTCGATATAGGCATATGAGGACATATGCCCACAAGTGCACAATAAGGGTGTAAGTGGTGAATATGCTACTACAAACCATTTAAAACAAATACTATGCAAGTGAAATTGGTTGTTCGTCCTTCTGAATCGACTGGGGTGGTCAACTTAGGGCAACATAATCAACAGGCTCAAACGTGCTAAGGCGATCGACTTAACCAAAGTGATTGGGCGATCGAGGGCGGCCGGTCAGACCAAGGTGGTCCGTTGACCGGACCAGGGCAATCGGTCAGACCAAAGTGCAAGGCTGACCGTGCCGGGGCAGTCGATCGAGCCAATGTGCTATGCCAACCGGGTTGGGGTGGCCGGTCGAGGCAATGTGCTAGTGCGAAATGCTTCATGTAAGACATATCGTAACACAATACATCATGCAATACATATGATCACAACCGATAGCGAGCCACACTCATCCAACGATCTCACATGGGCTTCCGGCGCTAGAGGAGAGTAGAGATGATCAACCTACAACACGCAAATCATAAAAGGGTAATTAAATAATTAAAGTCCTACAACTTCAACTAATTACTTTAAGAAAGAGATTAAGGAAAGAATCGAACAGAGAGAAACCTGAGTTTCCTGAGAGATTATAAGGGACGTGAGGAGGAAGAAGAAGAAGAATACATGAGTAGAGTTTCTTGGCATAGCAAACTTTTTTTTTTAGGGATTTAGAGGTGATGGGATGAAGATGATGAAGGGCTGAGGCTTCTTTTCCTTTTATAATGAAGAAATGTGAATTGAATTTTTTGGATTTTTGAACTGAAAAGTTCCTTTGTTCTTTTCTGGCAGTCACTGTGGTGTTTAGGAGCTATGTGGGGTACTGTTTCAGCTTAAATTGTCAATAAAAATAATATTTTTTTAATATAAAAATAGCTCAAATCATTGATCTTTTTTTTCTATTAAATATAGTCATATAGTTTTCTCAATAAATGTTTTTACAAAAAATGTGACTATAAAAATAAATTGTTAAAATTACAAAAAAGTTTTAAAGATATTTTAGCTTACATTATAAAGTTAAATAATGTGATTAATATAATAATCTTTCAGATTGACAAAAATGAGGCATAGCTTAAAATGATTACATGAGAGAAAATTAAAATAATCTTTAGCATAGTTTTTAATAATATATTGCAATAATTTTTAAAATTATGAATAATGTATGGATTAGTGAGCTCAAAAACTATGTCATTTCTTTTAAGATGTTTCTCTCTACCCTTTCCACAAATATACATAAACACGTATTGAGATTATTGAAGGAAGTTACGACCATTGAGTTTATGATTTGTGATAAAGATAGAGAATTCCGAGGCAAGTTGGACAAACTTCATGATCTTTGAGTCGGAACTAGCCTCCTAGGTAGTGCCAGACATCTTCATTTTGTAAGATTCGTACTTTGTCATTAAACCTCTACACGTTTCAGGGTGGAGAATTGACTAGTTGTTGCTCGTCTGAGGGATGGTTTGCAAGATATATTGCAAGTGCAGGTAGGATTTTAATGAAGGGCCTGTGAGAAGTCGTCGAAGACAAGATGGCAGTGGAGGGCCAACAAAAGAGGGCTTTCACAAATACAACGACAGAGGCCGACGAAGGGTTGTAGATGTGTGGATGTAGGGCTTCCCAATCAGCTAGCCAACCGTTCCACGATCCGACAACTGAATGAAGAACTAGAGACGATCCGATCTGAATGCCAACCTAAAAAGATCAGGTAGAGGCAGCGATAGAGGCTTTTTGAATCTAGGGAAGGCAACAACATATTCGTTCGAACGATCCCAAGGATAAAAACACAGGGAAAGCAAAAACGATCGAATCATTCAAACGTAGGGAAGGCTGCAATGATCGAACCCAACAACAAAAACTTTCAAACAATGAATGACAGAGGCGTTGGAATAGGAGCAGGGACTGACAACGAAAATTATGGTTTAGGCTTTGATACCATAAAGGAAAATATGAGAGAAAAATCTCTTATTCTTTAAATTTCAAATTACAACTCCTCTCATTATATAGAGAGTAAACTCTATGACAAACATAATTCCTACAATTAGAACTTATCAAAGATACAACAAACATATAAGGAAAGAAATACAAACATAATAATAGAGAAATAAATGAGGATAAATCTAAATAGAAAACACATAGTTCAACAGTGTCAATGCCATCAATTAGCACTAAAAGTAAAAACAATTTATTGCAATCTTAACATATATGTTCTGAATTTTTTTTCATCTATCTCCACACACTATTTAATCATTAATCATAAGAATTATCAATTTGATCAGGTGCAATACTTTGGGCCAAAACATAAATTTTATGGTAATCAAGAATAAATCACTTTGATTTGATTGAAATATGCCTGGGTAACATCAGACATATGACAAATTTATATTCAACGATACAATTTTGTTAAGAAGTATGTAGATAAGAAATTAGTGGCAAATATCATTACAAAAATAAACCATGCAAAAGATGCCTTTTAGTATGAACTTAAAAGGGATGTTGCAGTATATACAGATACTTTTGCATCTATTTTTTTTCTTTTTTTCACTCAAGTATCAAAATTAACAATAAAATTTTTGTTTCGTCACAGCGGATAAATTATTTTAGCACATTCCAAGTTGAATTCAGGTTCTCTAATCCATGCAATTTGTTTTGTTATTTATATATGAAATTCATTTTGTGTCTATTTATCTATAATTTATTTTATGTCAACTTTAATTGAAATTATTTATGGTAAGATAAGTTTAGCTAATATTCTTTTTAAAAGTGATATTAGATTACCTATCTATTATATTGGAAAAAATTTGCGTACATAAGACGTACGCAGAGCTGCGTACGTCTGTAACCTGCAAACAGGTTACAAGGAGGATTTTAGGAGGTTATAACCGCGTTATACCTCCTGTAACCTCCCTGTAACCTACATGTACCTTCAAGTAAGTTCCTCGCTTCTGTTTTCATATATAGGTAGGTTACAGAGAGGTTACAAAGAGGTTACAGGGGATATAACGTGGTTATAACCTCCCGCAATCCTTCCTGTAACCTGTTTGCAGGTTACAGACGTACGCAGCTCTGCGTACGTCTTATGTACGCAAATTTTTTCCCTATTATATTATAGAACTTTATGCTGATATATTTAATAAGACAGTCAATACTTTTATAAGGTAACTATGGTAGTGTGTTCCATAAAGAAAATAACCTAAAAATAGACTTAAAATATGTTAAATTGAGTGGTATCCTAATTGGGAGGGCCAATATGTGGGGCTTTCACCCACTAAATTTTATGTATCCTAGAATAAAATGAAACCCTCAATATGAATAATTAAATCTGTTACTGTTCTCATTGATGAATATTCATGTTTTCTAGTATAAATACATGAAATTTTTTTAGAGCTCAAAATACAAATGCTATATATTAACATTGTAAATTATGAAATCAAATCCATTACATTCAATTTAGCAACCCCCTCTGGTCTAGGCTTTGAGTTCAAGTGCTATTTTGTAGGTCTTGTACTACTAGTTTTCTATTCCTTCTCTTTCGATTTAATATTCCATGCAAGCTGACATTGAATATAATGTAGCCTTCCAATTTATTGGATTTTGAAGGATATAGTAGAACATCAACTCTCATGATCAACAAATAAATTACATGCAATAAGAATATTGCTCATAAATGACACCCAAAGTATTTCTTTTAATAAAATCTAGCATCCATAATTTTTTTGAACCACCAATCAAACCATTGAGAATTTGATAAAAATGAAAAATATAAGTGTTTTATCATGAATTTTTATATTTGAGTGAGAATTTGAAGAATGGATGAAAGAATGCTAGATTTGTTGATATCGCAATGCTTTGGGTGCTATGTTACAGCCTAAAAAAGTAATAGTTCAAGTTGGAAGTATCAAAGGCTTTGGGCTATCAAAACTCCTGATATAGTATAGCACGAAATTATCCAAATATTTGAGCTAGTTTCAGTTTCTAAATATGTGAAGACAAAAATGCCACACTCTTATGCTACAATTGGTAGAAACACGTGTGAGCCTCATCAAACCCTCTAATGAAAAATTGGGACATCAAAAGGTATTCAGGCAATGTCTAATAATATTTTGGGATTTTTTGGGTAATAAGTATCCCTTCTAGTAGGCCATCAAAATTCCTTGTGAAGTAATCACATATCCACATAATTCCTCTATATTTAACATATCCAACGCCTAAATTTCTATTTTTTAACACATGCTCATCTTACCTACGCATGAGTTTTTTCCTGTTTAAAAGTTAAAAAGGGTGTTATTTTTGATGAGATCTGAAAGCGTTGGGAAAAAATAGATGTAAAAAATAAAGTTTAGATTTAGATATATAAATATATAGGATTTGGGTCGAGCGTATGTAAATGGCCAAGAATTTAAAAAAAAAAAATCATAACATATCAAGGACAATCATGCAATGCATACAAGCCTTCTTAAAAATCATCAATCAAGAACGCAGACAAGCAAAGAGAGCTTCAGAACTAATAGTTTCTCTATATTCGACCAAAAATGCATAAATTACATCTATCTCTTCTTCATTTATAAGCAAAACTCTAAAACAAGCCAAATCAAACCACAAAAAACAGCTAAACAAACCTAACCAAAACCACCAACCACTCAGAGAAATCACAGCTCCTCCTCGTGTCTCTAAGACCCTCCTATAACCTTTTCTACTTCGCAGCCTCATAATTGGACGACAGTGTATCCTTAGCCGCATCCAACCCTCTCCTTTGCAGCTTCATATCCTTCCTTCACCTTGCTCGCCGCATTCCCGGCCGTCTCATAAGTCGCCTCCTGCGCTTCCCCTGCCTCCACAGTTTCTTTTGCCTTCTCGAAACACGATGTCTTCTCTGCTGCTTTCCCTGCAGCCTCGATAGTAGTTTTCTTTGTAGACTCTGTAGTCTCGTTTGTCTTATTTTTGGTTTGGGTTGCTGTTTCCGATGCTGTATCCTTCACCTTTCCTGAGACAGAATCCTTAGCACCCTTTAGGGAGTCTTTAGCAATTCTAGCCTTCTCCTTGGTGTATGCTCCCACATCTACACATCAATAAATACAATCAGATCTTACAAATAAAGCTTATCTAAATGTGCAACCAAGATGTACCAGAAGCGATGCCGCCAGCGCTGTCCTTGGCAGCATGCCCTGCTTTCTTCGCCTTGCTGGCTGCTTCCTCTGCCTTCTCCTCCTTGTCTTCAGTGGGTTGATGCTTGATGCCAAGGCCACCGGATATCTTGTCTTTGGCCCACGAAGTCCATGACTCCGAGCCTTCCTGCTGCTTATCGTCGTCGCCTGTAATTAAGGCCTCATCTGTGCCGGTCTTCGCCGTTGACGCTGCTGTTGTTATCGCCAAAGGCAGTGAGAAAAGAAGTATGGTTGTGAGAAAGAGAAGAAGGTTTTTGTTTGCCATGGAAATTTGGATGGGGTTGCGAACTGGATGGTAAGATTCAGAGAGAGAGAGAGAGAGAGAGAGAGAGAGAGAGAGAGAGTGATGGGTTTGGAGAAATGGGGACGAGGAATTTATAGGAAGGATGGCGGATGGGAGAGGAGTTCAGTTGGGAGCAACGTGTCATGAGCAGGTGTGAGTTTGGCTGGACGCTTGTCACGGTGGTAGAGACGTGGCAATTTTCGGCGCTTCGGTGGTAGAGACGTGGCAATTTTCGGCGCTACGGTGTAGAGACGTGGCAAATTTGTGATGGATTTTAGACTTTTCATACGTCATAATATTATTTTTTAAATTATTTATAAAGGAGTTTGTTTAAAGTCACATAAATATATATATATTTATATGCACACTCGGGATGCGGTCTTGCATGCGTACTCAAGTATGTGCTTAATTTTATATTTAAAAAATATATTTACTTCAAAAATATTCAAGATAAATATGTATTAGAAAATTCTCAATAGAAAAGCAATCTTTTATGTGTATGATTATATTTTTATGGAGAAAATTCTAGAAAAAAAAGCTACTGAGCATCTGGTTAGAATAATTCACTAAAAAATTCAAAGTATAGATGTTTACTCTTTTTTTGAACTATTGATTGCATTATTTTGATTAAATGATCATAATTGAGCTACAATTGTATTTGGTGGCTAAAATAGCAATAGTCGACTATAAAAATAATAGTTTATGGTTGTGATAGTTGTTGTTATTGGCTGCAAAAATTGTAGTTGGTGGTTACGAAAGGTATAGTTGATGGCCACAATAGCCACATTATCCCCAATTGGTTGCAAGAGTCATAGAGGGGTTGCACTAATTATGATTTGTGGCTACAACAATAGTGGTTGACTACGATTGCTAGTGGTTGTTTGGTGACATATAAGATTGACAATGAACTCTAGTAGTTGGTTGTGATTTTGATTATCAGCTACAAATTGCTAGATTTCAAAAGTTAAGCTTTAGTAACTCATTATTTTCTCTTACCTTCCTTTTTAGATTTAGTACCACTAATCAAATCATTAAGAAATTGATGAAAAATACGAGCAGCTTATCATGAATTTTTATATTTGAGTGAGAATTTGAAAAATGGATTAAAGAACACTAAATTTGTTAATAGCAATGTCTTGGGTGCTATTTAAAGTAGTTAAGTTTGAAATATCAAAGTCTCTATTGAGGCTTTGGGCTATCAAAACTCCTGATGTAATAGTATAGCACAAAATCTAAATATGCAAGGACAAAAATGCCACTCTCATGCTACAATTGGTAGAAACACAATTCCGATGAAAATTGGGACATCTAAAGTTTTCGATTTCCGATAAGTATTCGGGGAATGTACAATATTATTTAAGGAATTCTGTGTAATAAGCATGGCTTCTAGTAGGCGATCAAAATTCCTTGTTAGCATCTCCACTTAATTACTCTGTATTTACATATCAAACACCTAAATTTCATTTTTGTAACATACGCCATCTTACATACGCATGAAATGTTTTATGATTCAAAGTGAAAATGGAGATCTGGAAGCATTGGGAAAAAAGAGATGTAAAAAATATAATTTAGATTTAAATATATAAATATATAGGATTTGGGTCGAATGTAAATGGCCAAGAATATAAAAAAAATATAATAAAAAACAATCATGCAATGCATACAAGCCTTCTTAAAAATCATCAATCAAGGACGCAGACATTCAAAGAGAGCTTCAGAACTAATAGTTTCTCTTTATTCGACCAGAAATGCATAAGTTACATCTACGTACAGCATCATTTAATTGCTTCTTCATTTATAAGCAAAACTCTAAAACAAGCCAAAGCAAAACTCTAAAACAAGCCAAATCAAACCGAACCAAAACCACCAACCACTCAGAGAAATCACAGCTCCTCCTCGTGTCTCTGAGACCCTCCTACAACCTTCTCCTTCGCAGCCTCATAATTGGACGACACTGTATCCTTAGCCGCATCCAACGTCTCCGCAGCCTTATCCTTTGCAGCTTCATATCCTTCCTTCACCTTGCTCGCCGCATTTCCGGCCGTCTCATAAGTCGCCTCCTGCGCTTTCCCTGCCTTATCTTTCCCTGCCTCCACAGTTTCTTTTGCCTTATCGATAGTGGCATCCTTGAAACTCGATGTCTTCTCTGCTGCTTTCCCTGCAGCCTCGTTAGTTGTTTGCTTTGTAGACTCTGCAGCCTCGTTTGTCTTATCTCTGGTTTGGGTTGCTGTTTCCGATGCTGTATCCTTCACCTTTCCTGAGACAGAATCCTTAGCACCCTTTAGGGAGTCTTTAGCAATTCCAGCCTTCTCCTTGGTGTATGCTCCCACATCTACACATCAATAAATACAATCAGAGCTTACAAATAAAGCTTAAATAAATTTGCAACCGAGATGTACCAGAAGCGATGCCGCCAGCGCTGTCCTTGGCAGCATGCCCTGCTTTCTTCGCCTTGCTGGCTGCTTCCTCTGCCTTCTCCTCCTTGTCTTCAGTGGGTTGATGCTTGATGCCAAGGCCACCGGATATCTTGTCTTTGGCCCACGAAGTCCATGACTCCGACCCTTCCTGCTGCTTATCGTCGTCGCCTGTAATCAAGCCCTCATCTGTGCCGGTCGTCGCCGTTGATGCTGCTGTTGTTATCGCCAAATGTAGTGAGAAAAGAAGTATGGTTGTGAGAAAGAGAAGAAGGTTTTTGTTTGCCATGGAAATTTGGATGGGGTTGAGAACTGGATGGTAAGATTGAGAGAGAGAGAGAGAGAGAGAGTAATGGGTTTGGAGAAATGGGGAGGAGGAATTTATTGGAAGGATGGCGGATGGGAGAAGAGTTCAGTTGGGAGCAACGTGTCATGAGGAGGTGTGAGGTAGGTTGGACGCTTGTCACGTGGCAATTTTCGGCGCCACGGTGGTAGAGACGTGGCGATAGGATGGGTTGCCGACTGCGGCGATAGTAAATTTGTGATGGATTTTTTGTTTAAAATATTTCTTACATCATTTTAAATTATTCATAAAAGGGTTTTTTTCTGGGGACATTTTCTTACTTACCACATAATTCTTGTTTATTTGCATTTCTACCAATTAAACTCTTTTTTTTACACACATCATTAATTATTTAATTTTTGAAAGTTCAATATTGTAAATTTATAACACAAAAGTATTGTATTATGTAAATATGATTGTTTATATTATATATATATATATATATATATATAGATAAGTGTATCCACACTCGGGATGTGGTCTTGCATGCACGTGTTTAATTTTATATTTAAAATTTATATTTATTTAATAAATATTCATGATAATTATGTACTAAAAAATTCACAATAGAAAAAGCAATCTTTTGTGTATAACTATATTTTTTTTATGGAGAAAATTCTAGAAAAAAAATGAGCATCTTGTTAAAATAATTCACTAAGAAATTAAAAGTATAGATGTTTATTCTTTTTTTTTTAAACTATGGAAGATAGAATTTAAAAAAATTAATTGTATTATTTTGATTAAATAATCATAATTGGGCTAAAATTGTATTTGGTGGCTAAAATAGCAATAGTCGACTATAAAAGTAATAGTTTATGGTTGTGATAGTTGTTATTATTGGCTGCAAAAATTGTAGTTGGTGGTTACGAAAGTTATAGTTGATGGCCACAATAGTCACAGTATCCCCAATTGGTTGCAAGAGTCATAGAAGGGTTGCACTAATTATAATTTGTGGCTACAACAATAGTTGTTGACTACGATTGCTAGTGGTTGTCTGGTGACATTTGGGGGTTGACAATGAAGTAGTTGGTTGTGATTTTGATTATCACTACAAATCGCTAGATTTCAAAAGTTAAGCTTCAGTAACTCATTATTTTCTCTTCCCTTCCTTTTTGCAGTGAAGAATGATGATTGATTTATAATGTTTTAGAGAAAAAATTTAGTAAATTTAGTCATAATCTAAGAACGCTCAATCAGACAGTTTACATTCAATGCTTTTGCCATTTTTTTCACATTTAACTATCTTAGCAAACTCAGAATTAAATGATATTAAGTTTGTTGGATTTCTCTTATCGAGATATTCAATTTAATTATAAGTATGTCAATTTTTAAGATCATTTGATATTTTAATTGATGCACTAAAGACTTTTGACTACACCTCAAGTGTATGATCTAGGCTTAACTTAGATTGGATTATTTTTTATGGCATTGAGTTTGTTTTGCTGAGATTTGTGTTGAAATTGGAGCTCATATGATGTTGAATTTGAATTTGAAACATTTTTTTTCCCAAAATGTCCCGAGATTCATGTATGATGATAGTAATTTCTCGATTACACGTGGATGAAGATAACTTATCTATTGTAAAATTTATATTATCATTCACACATTAGGATGGAAATAGTATATATAAATATACATTTGTTTTTTTGGCAGGACAGGAAGAAGCGTCGGAAGCCCATCTGGAGCGGTAACGAGCAAACAGTTTTTGAAGTCCAATCATAGCAAAGGAAACATTGTCCAGGCCCATCCCTAAGCAACATGGCCCATCTACATCACGAATTCAAATCTGCAATTGCCTACGTAAATAAATATACATATATTAATTAAAAAAGGGAGCATTTACAAGCATATCACACAATTCTCATGTATTTACATATCTCACTATTAAACTTTCATAATCACACATATCACATACAAATAGCACTGTTAACATTTTTTAAAAGTGAAATATGCATATTTTCATAGAAGGGTTTAAAACTCCAAAGTACTATGTACGTAAATATCAAATTTTAGTTTTGAGATATGTAAATAGGTAAGAATTTAGTAGCATCATGAAGTAGACTTTAGAGATGATAGAACATAGTAACAAAATTTTGCAATGGCAGGGAGCTCTGGACAACCTCGTAAGAAAAGCTCCGGACAACCTCGTTCGGGGCAGCTTGTGCGCTTTAAGAAAAACAACTTGTGTGTTACACACAAATTCACTCGTGTTCTTCCTCCTCTGTTGAACCTTTCAACTTTATTCTTCTTTTTTATGAAATGGGCCATTTTAGAGAAATAATCCCTCTTTCTCTCTCTATTATTGGATGAAATCATTAAACTAAACAGTTGGCTCTCGGGAAGCTAATAATTGAATAACTCGTGTAAATCATGATTTAACAAATTTTGTTCTCATAAAAAATATTGTCAAATTTGCTTTTGAGTGGATATTCTATCAAGTAAGACTTCAAATATTTGTTTGACAAGTGAGACGTTCTTCTATGGCTTGTACATCTATAATTTTTTAGGAGTATTATTACAATGTGTAACATTAGTGTATGCCTTTCCTATTATAGGCAATATTATCACATGCTCAAGTTTAGCTAGAACTATCGCTACTTCAATTTCTTAATTAGTTTTATCTCTTATAAAAGTTTGTGCAATTCCATTAGTAAATCCTAATTCTTCCTCCCTCGAAAGATAGGTGCATGAAACCTCACATAGGAGAAATAATGTGTCATATAGTCGAAAAGTTATTCCATACGGACGGACACCTTATGCATCTTGTATGCGGCGTCCGATCATGACAGTAAATCAGTTGATCTACGGTCAGGATGTATTTCAGTGGGCCCCATCTAAAAAAAATTTTTTAAGAAAAAAAACTAAAATATATCCAGACAGTAGATCGCCGTGATCTACGGTCAGGAGCGGACACCGCATGCAGAGATGCATGCGATGTCCGTACGCAATAATTTCTCCATATAGTCACCCTATCAATGATTTGAAATAAGTTAGAGAGTTCTTAGAACTCATATTAAACTGCACATGTAATATTACTTGAAATTCAATTATTATTGGCTGAAAATTCATTCAATAATCCTTGATTTCCGACTAAACTTGGTTAAATTTAGTGACTATAAAGTTAAACTGCTAAATATAACTGCTGAACACTGACTATAAAGTTAGAGATCTCAATCGTCAATATTTATTTGTAGATTGAAATACCAGCCCTTAAACAACCATAAATTTAACTTAAACAAATGATAATGATAATAATAATAATAAAGCACATAACATTTCCCACACCTATAATTGTACAACTAAAAAAATATTTAATCACAACATTTACTAATTAGCAACCAACATAACAATACATACATATAATCCCAATTGAATGAAATCATGTAATGAGTTGTAGATAAATCATTGAAGAATGCACTAATTTAGTTAATGGGTTATCATAATTGACAAAGTACTAAATATAATGAGCAATAAATACTGCAAGAAAATGTGACAATCATGATTTTCCAAGCCAAAAATATTCCCTTCTCCTAAGTTGACGCAATGGCTTAAGTCAAACACACATCTGTTAAGGAACTTCAGAGACTATGATCATTCACATATTGTACTTCACTGATCAAAGGTCGATAATACTTGACTTTAGGCATTATCAATTTACTTGTAGTTGTCTCGTGAAGTTCTAACTCCTTTCTCTTGCAATACACTATCAAATCCAATCTTGCTTTAACATTATTTTTATTTTGCCCTTAATACCCATCACAGTGTTAAAAATATTATCTAATTTGTTTTCTCTCAATATGCATGACTACGATTATGTCTAACTAATTTGGTTTTCAGGTATGTCATATTTTGAAAAAAAACTCAATTTTATCTAATTATGTGTAATAACAAAATGAAGAAAATGATGTTAACATAACTCTGAGGAATCAGTGGTTTCAAATTTGCACTAACCATTTGTTACAAATGCTTCCTAGTAATCTATTGAGGAACCTTTGATTTCTCAATTCTATTTTTAAGAAGCCATCTTTATTCTTTTTGAATTGATGATCACTAGGTAAGAATATTCGATGATGTTTGAATTATGAATTTTTTCTACCATGTTTTATAGTATTTCCTTTCGACATATCCATGCAAAGAGGGCATGCCGACTTTTCTACAATGCTCATATCTCTTATGATGAAAAATTATTGTTATTCACATCAATGCAGCTTTCATTTAAAAATTCTTATCAATCAAAGGTTATGGATACCTTATTTATTCCTTTGAGGTTAAAAGGACTTGACATGATCAACATTAGAAATACAAAAAGCATAGTGATGCACATATCATGTGATAAGTTATACGTTGAAACAACCACCAAACAATATGAGTAACGTGAAATAGGCTAAATGTATGGTGTAAGTTTGTTCGCACATAAGCTAAACCTAATGTTACGAGAATCAACAACAAACTCAAGATTAGTATGCTCAAAATATTTTCAGCCTTCTCAATCTGTATGTGGAATCCCAAAAATCCCAAAATCTAACTTCAACTAAGAACCGATGAAGCAAAAACATTTGCCTAATCAAAAATCCCAAAAAATCCAAGCAATTACACATGAGATCCCTAAAAATCTCAAAATCCAACATCAATCGAGATGTAATGAAGCATAAGTATTCGCCAAATAAAAAACAATAAAAGTCTCGAGCACAAAGAACTACACCAACACCACGAGGAACCACCAAATAGAGGAACTCACAGTGGGCATAAAGGCACAAAACTAAAATCCACATTGTTAGGGCAAAAAAAATCACCGCACAAAGATTACTTACCATGAAGAAGAACCACCGCAAAAGGAACCACCACGAAGAGGAAACCACGAAAACATTGGACACATACACATTTCCGAAATCAAAGTCATTGACATAGTTAAGGTAGGGGTTACCAACACAAAGAGGAACCACCACATAAAGAAACAACAGTACAGTGGAACCACTGCAAAGAGGAACCATCACACAAAACAACGCATGA